CAAATATGTGAAAATTAAACAAGATACTCTTCAACCACTAGAAAAATAAGAAAAAATTATACCCAAAGTTAGCAGCAGGAAGGAAATAATAAAGATTGAAGCATAAATAAACGAAATATAGAATATAAAACAAAATAAAAATCAATGAAACTAAGAGTTAGTTATTTGAAAATAGTAAATTGACGAATCTTTAGCTAGACTAAGAACAAAAGAAAATTCACATTAAAAAATCAGAAATGAAACAGAGGATACTACTTCTGATGCCACAGAAATAAGAAGGATTACAAGAGACTAATATGAATCATTATAGGCTAACAACTTAGATAACCTAAGAGAAACAGATAAATTCCTAGAAACACACAACCTACAATGACTGAATCATGAGAAAATACAATATGTTAAGACTTACAACTAGCAAGGAGATTGAATCAGTAATCAAAAACCTCCCAACACAGAAAAGTCAAGGACCAGAGGGCTCCACTGAAGAATTCTATCAAATATTTAAAGAAGAATTAAAATCAATCCTTCTCAAACTCTTCCAAAAAACTGAAGAGGAAACACTTTCAAATTCATTTTACGAGGTCACCATGATCCTGACACTAAATCCAGGCAAAGACATGACAAAAAAAGACCACACGCCAATATCCCTAACAAACATAGGTACAAATATCCTCAACGAAACAATAGCAAGCCAAATTCAACAACACATTAAAAAAAATCATATACCATGATCAAGTGAAATGTATCCCTGGGATGCAAAGATGGTTCAACATATGAAAATCAATCAATCAATCACATTAACAGAAAGGATAAAAATCACATAATGAATTCAATAGATGCAGAAAAAGCATTTGACGAAAATTAACACCTTTTCATGATAAAAACACTTTCAACCATTAGAAATAGAGAAAATTATCTAAATATAATAAAGGCCACATATGAAAGCCTACAGCTAACATCATACTTAAGTGAAAAACTGAAAGCTTTTTCTCTAAGATCAAGAAGACAAAGATGTCTACTCTTGCCACTTCTATGCCATATAGTACCGAAAGACCTAGCTAGAGCAATTAGGCAATAAAAAGAAGTCAAAGGCATCCAAATCAGAAAGAAAGAACTAAAATTATCCTTGTTCATTAATGATGCAATCTTATATGCAGAAAACCTTATTTTAAAAATGCTGTTAGAACCAATAAAAGAATTCAGTAAAGATGCAGAATACAGATTCAGCATACACAAATCATGAACAAGGCAAAAAAGAAATTAAGAAAATCCCATTTACAATAGCACCAAAAAGAATGAAATATTTAGAAATAAACTTAACCAAGGAGGCAGAAAACTTGTACACTGAAAACTACAAAACATTGCTAAAAGAAATTAAACAAGACACAAATAAAAGACAGCACTGGTCATGCATTAAAGATTCAATATTTTTGAAATATCCACAGGACTCAAAGCAATCTACAGATTCAATGCAATCCCTATCAAAATCTCAATGACATTTTTTGCAGAAATAGGAAAAAGCAATCCCAAAACCCCAAAATTCAAAGGAACCACAAAGACCCCTAGTAGACATACACACACACACACACACACACACACACACACACACAATCCTGAGAACAAACAAAGCTGGAGGCCTCATCCTTCCTGACAGGGGCCTACAAATGTATGAAAAAAGCTACAAAAATCAAAAACAGCAAAGTGTAACATAAAAACAGGCATGAAGACTAATGAAATACAATAGAGCACCCAGAAGTACATACACACAAATATAGTCAACTGATCTTCAACAAGGGTGCCAAGAATACACACTGGGGAAAGGATAGCCTCAACAGGCAGTGTTGTGAAAACTGAATGTCCACATATAAAATAATGAACCTAACCCTTATCTGACATCACACACAGAAACCTACTCAAAATGGATTAACTCCTTTCTCATTGTTGGAACTGAAATTTGTAGATAGGGAAGGATAGGAGGCTAGAATAATCCATGTAACGGATTAGAGTTGGAGACATCAGGATGAGCTTGTTTAGCTTAATATAGGTATGTATGATCATATAAATAATTATAGATATGTGTATATACGCAGGTTAGTATACACGCACATATTTCTTAGTTCTGTCAGCACCAAAAGGGCCTAAAAGAAATAACACCTCAGGAGCAATGAGCATACCTAGCTTGGTTTCTAACACCATTCTTCAATAAAAGGAACCAGAGTTCCTTGGAGAAGTAACTGATTCTAGGATTGGGCAGGAAATACCCAAGATGAGCCTGGAGCATCTTGCACTGCCAGAGAGTAAGAAAATACTTTCCAAGATGAAAAAGAAAAAGAAGATGCAACCCCCTGCCCTGAAAAAAATAAAAAGTCCAACCTCATTGATGGGGATATGTCAAATGGACACAGGAGCCAAGTGAAAGAGCTCCTAATGGCCAAGCCTAGAACAATTTGAGTAACAAAGCAGTACTGAATTATAACCCAAAGTATAAAATGAGTCCATACTGATAAGTAGAAAGCTCAATAGTGGAAAAGAAACAAATATGTACCAAATTCCACACCATTTATATAGATATTCCAGCCTCAGAAAGGAGAGCACACCTGCCCACTCCTTAAGTATGGGCTGAACTATAGTGATTTCCTTAAGTACAGTAAGAAAAGGGAAAAATGAAGAGTCAGTTCATAGTGAAGACACCTGTACCTCAGCCAGGTAACAAGATTAATATCAAGCCATAACTCATGTTAATAATATGTACCCTTGATTTGATGTGATGAAAATGGCATTTTATCTCTGTGAGCTTCCTTCTCAACACCCATAATCCAATTCTAATCAAGAAGAAAAACATCAAATTCCAATAGAGAGAGACATCCCACAAAGTATTTTGCCCACACTCTTCAACACTGTCAAGGTCATCAAAAACATGCCAACTAAATGTAATATGGTATCTAGGATGGAATCCTGGGGCAGGAAAAGGACACTAGGGAAAAACTTGGAAAGTCTGAATAGACTCTAGAATTTACTTAACAATAATGTGTCAATATTAGTTCACTAATTATAACAAATGCACTGTACTAATGTAAAATGTTAATAATATAGAAACTCTGTACTATCTTTTAAAGTTTGATTTATCTAAAACTGATCTAAAAACATACAGGGTCCATTTACATGGGGGCGGGGGGAAGATAAGCCACAGATTAGAAGAAAGCATTTGCAAAGTATCTCTCTAATAAAGGATTTGTATTCACATAAGTCAAAAGAGCTCTCAAAATTCAATACACGGAAGACAAAAACTCCAATTGAAAAACAGGCAACAGATCTGAGCAGACATTTCACTGAAGATGTATACATGGCAAATATGCACATGAAAAGATGCTCAACATCACTGGTCATTAGGGAAATTTGTTAAATATTGCTAAAACCACAGTGAGACACATACATATTAAAATAACTGAAATTAAAAAGACTGGCAATGCCAAGTGTTGGCAAGATGGAGGCAGAACCCTCATAGACTGCAATGGAAATGCAAAATGTTAAAATCACTTAGAAAAAGCTTGACAGTCATTATTCTAAGTGAAGTAACTCGGGAATGGAAAACCTAAGCTATGAGGATACAAAGGCATAAGAGTAATATAATGAACCTTGTGCACTCAGGGAGGAAGGTTGGGAGGGGTGTGAAGGATAAAATATTACATTAAGGGTACGGTATACTGCTTGGGTGACAGGAGCAATAAAATCTCAGAAATCAGCACTAAATAACTTCTCTATGTAACCAAAAACCACCTGTACCCTCAAAAATTATTCAAATAAAAAAAATTTTTAAGTTCAGGAGTATCTTGAAAAAATAAACCTACCATATCATCCAGTCATTTCATTCTAAAGTACTTGCTAAAAAAAAAAAAAAAAAGCATATGTTCGTTCAAAGATGTATGCAAGAAAGTTCACAGCATTCTATGTATTCTAATGAATAAAACTTGAACCAACCAAAATATCCATTAACAGGTGAATAATTGTGGCAGAACTCTACAACATAATACTTCTGAACAATTAAAAGAAATGAGCTACTGATAAATGCAACATGAATGAAACTCAAGATAATACTGAAAGAAGCCAGATATTTTTTTAAAAAATAGTACATACTATATGATACCTTTATACTAAACTTTCAAAAATGCAACAATCTGTAGTGACAGGAAGCAGATCAGTGGTTACCTGTGGGAAAAGGAAGGGGCAGGGACTACAGAGGACGAAGAGGAAACCTTCAGGAGTGTTCAAATGTTCATTATCCTAATTTGTGGTGATGCATTCATAGATGTAAATATGTGTATGTCAAAATATCACATTGCACACTTTAATATGTATACTATTTAGTATACTGATCCAATTTCGATAAAGCTGCTGAATATGCTAATAGAGTGTTACCAAGTGGTGAGAGAGTGACTAACTACACAGCAAGATGTTTTCCTTCTAAAGGAGATACTGCATGGAAAGTTGAAATTTAGAAGAGACTTCACGATGGGTGCTATTCAAAGTGCTGTTCTACAAACCATCACTGGCCCGTAATAACAAATAACTTGCACAAGAAGGTAAATTACCTACCACACTAAGCACAGTTTCCTTCAGCTGATAATTTTTTTAAAACCAAAATTTCTTGATGAAGAAAGCAGTATACTGACACACTTTCTGGCCCAAGCTCCATATTGAATCACTGACCTGTAACAAACAGTTCACAGACAAGCACTTCTCTGCAGACACATTTTTGAGTAGCACTGTTTAGACCACACTCAGAAAACTCTCTAAGCCTATCCTCACCTGTATGATGAGAATAGTAATAATTGCTCTGGATGCCTCAAAGAATAGTATGATGCTCTAATGAGCCATATGGCTTGCAAATAGCAAGCACCTATTAATTACGTATTATTGAGTTATGTATAATTACGTATAACTACTGAGTTATTTGGAGTCATTTAAAATAAATATATAAAAATAAAACAAGACACTTTTCATTTGCTCAGAATGCTTGTTGTTAAAGTTAACTGAGATTACAAATGGTTTGTTTTTCCAATGAATTTAACATTCAAAAGTATTCAATATTGAGTTTATTAACAAAAGTGGACCTGTACATAGTCTTATCTCATATTTGAATAATACACACACTGCACAATGGCAACTATTTTTTATCAGAGCAACGTTTCCCAAACATAGAAGTGCAGAAGTAAAACTGTTATTTTCATTTTTCTGTATTCTTTAGTTTCTAGAATTCATAAACTCAAAATTGTTCACATAAGTTTAGAGTATTTGTTCTTGTTTATCTCTGACAAAGAGGTGTTCTCTAAGAAATTTTGTATTTTATAATCTTTCCTCTGAAATATGAGAAAGACATGGAATCTCCTGAGTTATATATGCAGCTTATACATTCTTTGAAAAACTTTTAAAAAATATCACAAAGTAATTATATACCCATAATATATGTTGCTATTCACATAATTCTTTAAGCAATATTCAAGTATATTTGTGCTTTACATTTTTACATTACTTTAGAACCTATTTTTAGCTTTCAATAAAACTGTGTATCTCTAAAGATTTCTCAAGTATTTAATAAATGAGGCAAAACAATCATGAAAATATAAACTGCTACTATAGATTTTTCATCTTTCATTTTATGCATTTCCTCTCAACCATGTAATTTCCTGTTAAGGAATGTGGATACATTTTTATCTTTATAATATCAACACTGCTGCTTTCTCAGCCTGTTGCAACAGTCAAGACATCACAGCGTTTCTGAACACACAGTATTCACTCTGCCATATAAGTTGGAGCAATAAAATCTGATAGCACTGGTATTCATCATTGCCAGTTATTTCAACTGCAGGACCACCTTAAAACACAAATTGAACAGAAAATATCAGGTTATACAAGACTGATGCTGATATATTCCATATTAAATGCTTTGAAGTCTCTGAAAAAGAGCATGGAGAACTCATAACAAGGAAGTACAATACACAGTAACTGATGACATATGCCTGCCAGAATCTACAGTTCAGAATCTGTTACCATTTATATCGGGCTCTACCACATGCACCGTTCACACATGTAGCCCCACTCAGCCATCCAGCCAAGCCCGAGCTGCTCGTTTGGTTAATAGGCATGTGGACCAGTGATCAAAGCACTACAATGTTTGAGCAAATGCAGAGTGTGGAGAGAAGCTGAAGTTTATGGGAGTTTTTAAAAAGCAGGATCAAGAAGATTAAATAGTGGGGCAGTAGAGGTTGTAAGAATTACTGAGACTTAATCACTGAGATGAGATCACTAGAGAAAACGCTGAGCAATAACGAAGAAACATATGTATACAAAGATAATTATTTTTACTCCTCCTCACAACAGTTTCCACTGTTTAAATATTATTTTTCTCATTTATTAAACATTAGGAGCAGTTACTATTATTTAGCCACTCCACTGTAAATGTGAAGTTTTTCGACATTCATTAGTTCTGCCTTGCCTCAATCTGATTTTGTCATAATAACTACAGGCCATATTTTGTCTTCCATAGAGGATCATAAAAGCAATTTTCTATTATTAGTCCAGTTAATAAAGCCACTTTTTCTTCAGGATCGTAATTTTTTTTAATCATAAAAACTCTTCAGAATCAATTAATTTTATTATTCTAAGGTAAAAATTTTATTTTTATCATTAATGAGCGTTGAAGCAAAAGAAATTCAGCTGTTAGAATAGCACTATTATTCTTTCAAAAATTACTTAATACATTATGTTCAAAACTAAGTAATTGAACATTACAAGTTGTAATCAATATCTAAAACTAGAGCTCAGAACATACTAACAAAGTATTTTCTGTGCTTAACATAAAACATCAGGAGAAAAAAACACTAAAAGTGAACTATGAGTCGAGGAGCATCAATCAAAACTTAAAACGTTTGGCCAGATGCAGTGGCCCTTGCCTGTAATCCCAGCACTTTGGGAGGCCAAGGCGGGTAGATCACTTGAGGTCAAGAGTTTGAGACCAGCCTGGCCAACATGGTGAAACCTCATCTCTACTAAAAATACAAAAATCAGTCAGGCGTGGTGGTGGGCATCTGTAATCCCAGCTAGTCTGGAGGCTCAGGCACGAGAATCGCTTGAACTCAGGAGGCAGAGGTTGCAGTGAGCCGAGATCACGCCACTGCCTTCCAGCCTGGGTGACACAGCAAGATTCCAACTCAAAAAAACCCAAAAGCCTTAAACATTCAAATCATATGACAAAATTATAGCAAATACCTTATTTGCTGCTTCCAAGGAATGTATTAGATTCTGCAGCTCCTCTCTACTCATTTCAATAGAATATGGTTTTACTTCACCATTTTCTTTTACATCTAGATGCAGGCTTAAAAGTGGCATTCGTAATGCAGCAATCTTGTCACTGGAAAGTGCAAGCTGTTTAAAATCAGAAAAATAGTAATTAATAAATAGTAAAAAGAACCATATTGAATATGCATCAGAGGTTAGTTAGCAGTACATTTTTTAAAAGTACTATTTGCTGTTGAGTATAGAGAAAAGTGAAAGAAACAAATTAAATCCATGCTAAAGCATATTGGAAGAATAGAGAGAGAAAGGAGAGTGAATAAAGGAGAGGAAATGGGTAGGAAAGTAAGATAACCAGTCAGCAATCTTGTGGCAGAAGCAGGTATGTAGATCAGAGTCATGCCTGGGAAGTAATGAAAGGGTCTAATGTACAAGAAACATAGAGAATTCTTAAAGAAGATTAAAGGCAACAAGAAGATGAAAGCTCATGTACAAAGATAAGTGAGACCAAAAATACTGGTAAACTCTCAGAACTTAAGATGCTTAATTAATGGTCAGCTATCTATCTATCACAATATTGATAAATATGTTATCAAGATACCATCTTCAATTACAGCCACTCAACAGAAACACTCCGTACACTTACCTCACTTCTTAATTTATTTCTCTGGAATATATCCTAGGGGAATTGGAAGAACCAAATATTTATAATACTAGTACTTTTTGAAACGAGCACTGTAGCTTCCTTGGCAGACAGCATAGGGAAACTCAGTTTTCCTGGATCTGAGCCAGAAAAATCCACAAAAACTGAATCTTTGTTTAGAATGCTACCACTTGCAAAAAAATTACTTATGCAATGATAAGGGACATCTTCCCTAATGACCTCAAAGGATCTCTCTTGTAGTACATACACTATAGAATCAAATCTTGACATATCTCCTCCATTCTCTCACCCAAAAACAGGACCTATAATATCTGAGATCTGGAAGTAGCAGCTTCAGGTTAACTATCTTATGCATAATTCTCCTCCTCAATATTTCCAATAAATAGTTTTTCACCCTATGCTTAAATACCACCAATGATGATGCACGTGCTACCTCGAGAAGAGGTTACAATTATTTCCAGATATTCATACTTGTTAAAAATTTCTTCCCTAGGTTGAATTGAAACCTATCTTATTGCAAATAATATACCTTAGTCCTTCACCTACTTTCTGGAGCCACAAAGCATTTATATATTCCCCCATCTATGACTTTTGGCCTTTTAAAGGTAAGTGTCGTGTTTCTACTAGGTTTAATCTTTTCCAGGTACATGGTATCAGTGTTTCAAAGCAATTTCACACACCATGATTTTAAGTTCCTAGTCATTCTTTGCTAGCTGGAGTCCAATTTGCTTAAATATCTATTAAGTTTGGCAGCCAAAACTAAACAGATATTACACTAAAAAGATGTTATCATTGGAAACAGAAGGTACTAGCACTATCTCTTGCTTGAAGAACTGCAATTCTGCTGGGCACAGTGGCTCACACCTGTAATCCCAGCACTTTGGGAGGCTGAGGTGGGCGGATCACCTAAGGTCGGGAGTTCACGACCAGCCTGACCAACATGGCAAAACCCCATCTCTACTAAAAATACAAAATTAGCCAGGCGTGGTGGCACATGCCTGTAATCCCAGCTACTCGGGAAGCTGGGGCAGGAGAATCGCTTGAACCCGGGAGGTGGGGTTGCAGTTAGCTGAGATCCTGCCATTGCGCTCTAGCCTGGGCAACAAGAGTGAAACTCTTATCTCAAAAAAAAAAAAAAAAAAAAGAACTGCATTTCTACCAATAAAATATGGGCCTGAATCAACACGAATGAAGCTATACTTTGATAAACCAAAATAAACATTTCTCATATATGCTACCATTAACATCTCTCTCTTATCCTTTATTATTTTTTTCTGAGACAAAGTCACGCTCTGGTGCTCAGGCTGGAGTGAAGTGGCACGATGATCTTAGTTCACTGCAAGTTCCACCTCCTAGGTTCAAGCAATTCTCGTGCCTCAGCCTCCCAAGTAGCTGGGACTACAAGCACACACCAAAACACCCAGCTAATACTCGTATTTTTTCAGTAGAGTTGCAGTTTTGCCATGTTGGCCAGGCCAGTCTCGAACTCCTGGCCTCAAGTGATCCACCCGCCTTAGCCTCCCAAAGCGCTGGGATTACAGGCGTGAGCCACTGCACCTGGCCTCCTTTATCTTTTATATTTATAAAAATATAAAATCTGAAATTGAAACTAAATGTATAAAATTTAAATATTTAAATTAAACATCCTCTGTTTAGGTTGCCTATTTGATTCATTTGGTCATTGATGTAATTAGCTGTGACATAATTTTAAACTTTGTGTCACATTATACACGTGTTATAGCTCTAGTTTTATATCACCTTCAGATATGATGAGCATAATATTCATAAAAATGTTGAAAATGACCCGGCCAAGACCAGAGCCACAGAGACTTCTTAACTAATACACATTCATCTGTCTTTGCTTAGTTATTTATCTGATTATGAACCCACTTATTATCTTCCCACATTTTTCTTTACTTAATCCATATATACAACGTAAGGCACTTTATCCAGGGTCATGCTAAAATCAAGAAACAAAATTATTTGTTTCCTCTTCATCTACTGGTCTAGGTATCTTATAAGGACAAAAAGTGGGTCTGAGATTGTTCTTTATGAACTCTACTGATAGTGACTCTCCAAAATGTATTAAAAACTGATGTTTTAATAGTATCTTACAGGTTTTCCTCCTAGAGGTAGAATCACATTTACCAGTCTTAAGAAAGCTATGAAGTCTAGAAAGTTGTGGTCAAAAATATATGTTGACCAGGTGGGATGGCTCACGCCTGTAAAACCAGCACTTTGGGGGGCCGAGGTCGGCAGATCACTCACTTGAGGCCAGGATTTGAGACCAGCCTAGCCAAAATGGCAAAACCCCAAATCTCCACCAAAGACACAAAAATTAGCTGGGTGTGGTGGCACGTGCCTATAGACCCAGCTACTCAGGAGGCTGGGGCAGAAGAATTGCTTGAACCCAGGAGGCAGAAGTTGTAGCGAGCTGAGATTGCACCACTGCACTCCAGCCTAGATGACAGAGCACGACTCTCTCTCAAAAAATAAATTTTATATATATATGTATGTATGTATGTATGTATCTGTATGTTGACTATATGCTGTCCCATCACTTATGACATTTAATGATTTACAGATCTAACTAAATTTATTATCAATGTAATGTTATTACACGTGGCTTAGATGCTTGTAGTGTACTTATGCCCAAGTTAAGGTAAGGTGTAATTTAAACTATCTTTGATATTTCTTTGGGATAATACATTCCCAAAATAACAAATTTTAGATACATGATATTATAAAGATATTTGTCTATATCCAGAAAATGAAATTAAAAATACACGTACTCATAGACTCTTACCTTTACCTGCCAATCAAAATCCTGCAGCTGTGCAGAGGAAATAGCAACTATTTCTCTTGACAGAGCCTGTTTGATTTCATCTTTCCTACTTTTCACACATTTCATGATAGTTTCTTGATGAAATGAATTCAACTGATTCAACTGCTGAAATATCTATAAAAATAAAAACAGACAAAAGGGGCTTTCTGTTTAAAACGTAAAAACACAATTCCACTCTCCTTTTGCACACTTTTAAAGCAACAGTAAAAGAAAAAGAGAAATACTTCTGTAACTATAAAAAAGACTAAGATGAGAGTGAGTAACCAGAAAATAGGTTTTAACAAATTTCTGCAAAATAGAGAGTAAAGAAAAAGGACTGATGGAAGCAGCAGCGTGGAAATGAATACACCTGGAAAACACCAAAGCTGATACAGCCACACAGGATGAGTATCTCAAATCCCAAAACGGGAAAAGTTCTGTGAACTGACAGGATGCTCAAAGGAAGTGCTCATTTGAATAGTTGAGATTTCAGATTTCAGATTTTTTTTAGCAGGGATGCTGCACTGGTGAGTATAATGCAAATATTGCAAAGTCAAAAAAATCTGAAATCCAAAACAGTTCTGGTCCCAAGCATTTCAAACAAAGGATACTCAACTTGTATTAATATATCAGACAATGTAGCCCTTAAGGCAAGAAGTGTTACAAGAAATACAGAAGGACAGTAAAAGGGCAATGCAACAGAAAGACACAACAATCATAAATTCCTGAGTACCTAACACCATAGCTTCAAAACTTGGCAGCACTAAAAGAAATGAATAAATCCACATTCACAATTAGAGATATTAATACAACTCTCAATAGCTGACACAAAGAAACAAAAAAAATCAATGAGGATATAGAAGAATCGAAAAAATGTATTCTACCTAACCTTAGCAATATATACAATACCACACCTGACAACTGTAGAGTACACATTATTTTCAAATGTATATGGAACATTCACCATAATGTACCATATTCTGAGCCATTTAGCAAACCACATCAGATCTCAAAGAACTTAAATAGCACTGTGTATATTTTTATTACTGGGTAATGAAGTCGTGACTAACGAGAAAAGGTAACCAAAAAATTTCCGAATGTGTGAAAATTGAATAGCACAACACTAAATAAATAAATAAAATTAATCTCACTTATTCTTCCTGTGAACAGGAAGAGGAAAAAAAAATTCTTCCCAATTCATTCCATGAGGCCAGAATAAAACTTGACACCTTGACAAGAGGAAAAAAAAAAAAAAAAAAAAAAAAAACACCTAGGCCAATATCACTCAAATATTGATATAAAAATCCTAAGCAAAATATTGGCAATCCAAATCAAGAGATATATAAAAAAGATAATACATCATGATCAAGTGGAGTTTATTTTGGCAGTGCAGCCTTAGTTTAACATTCAAAAATCACATTAACAAAATAAAGAAGAAACAATAACAAATTCAGGGAAAAGCATTTGACAAAATTCAGTATCCATTCATGGTAAAAATTCTCAGCAAAGTTAGAATTGTAGGATGCTTCTTTAGTCTGACAATGGATATCTATAAAATCACAGAGCTAACATACTAAATGGTGAAATAGTAAACACTTTCTCCCTAAAGTTAGGAATAGACATATATCTACTATGCCTGCTTTTTTAAAAGAAACACTGACTGCTGGTGTTAGCCAATGCACAAAGGTAAGAAAAATAAATGAAAGATGTTAAAGTTGAAAAAGAAAATTATTATATACAATCTCCCCCCAAAAAATCTATATACAATTGGATACAGTAAACAAATTTAGAAAGGCTGTGGGACACAAGGTATATAACAATCAACTGTTCGTACATACTAGCAAAAAACTACTAAAAATTAAAGATCAAAAACATCATTTACTCAGAAATAAAAAATATTTGCAAGAGCTCAACACTGAAAACTACAAAATACGAGAGAGAAACCAAAGCCCTCTAAATAAATAGAGAAACCAAAGCCCTCTAAATAAATAGAGGGCTGCCCATGTTCATAACTTTGGAAAGCTAAATGTTGTTGTCAATTCTCCCCACAAATGATCTAGTGATTCAGTGCAATCTCCATCAAAAATCCAGCAGGTTTGTAGGTTAAAACCGAAAAGTTGATTCTAGAGGGTTATCTGAAAATATAATAGCCAAGGCACTCCTGAAGAAGCATGACAATGAAGGTCTTCTATTACCAGATATCAAGACATAATTTAACTTAGCTTTAATTCTACAGTAATTAAAGCAGTGTAGCATTGGCAAATACACACAAGTAGACTAGTGGAATACATTAAAGAGTCAAGATACAGAGGCACAAATATATGGCCATTTGATTTACAATAAAGGCAGCACAGCAATATTGTGTGGCAAGGATGGTCATTTCAATAAGTGGTCAACTGGATATTCATGTAGAAAATTTTGAACTTGGCCTCCATTCCATACACAAATATTAATTCAAAATGCATCAGTGACATAATGTGAGAGCTAAAACAATCAAGCTTCTACAAGAACACATCCAAGAATCTTCATATCTTCGGCACAAATATTTCTGAAACAAAACACTAATAGTATTAGCCAGCAAAAGAAATATTGACAAAGTAGATTTGTTAAATTTCACAACTTGTTTCACCAAAAGACACCATTAAGAGAGTAAAAAGGCGAGCACATAATAGAAAATATTTAAAATACATATTTCTAACAATGAGCTCATATCCACAATATCATCCAAATCAATGACAAACATAAATAACTTGATTTTCAGAAAAGTGAGCAACTACACAAGGTCAAATGATTTTTGACAAAGATGCAAAAGTAATTCAGTGGAAGAAGGATATCCTACGACCATGCAATTTCACTTCAAGATATCTACCCCAGAAAAGCTGATGTGAGTGTGAACAAGAAGACATGTAAAGAATGTTTATAGCAGCATTACTTGTAATAATGAAAGAAGCAATGACTATTAGTAGGGAGATAAATAAATCTTATTTAATTTCTATCATCAAATACAAGGATTTAAAATACACTAGATCCACGTTTATCAATGTAAAACACAATGCTGCATTTACAACAATTTACAAGTGCAGACATATGTTACATTTTATTACAAGTTATACACTTACATACCCCAAATAATTCAATATACTCAAAGATTCAAACATACATACAATATATAATACAAAACATGAACACCACCTTCAAGAGTGGTGATCTCTAGGTGAAAGTGGGATATCCAGGTGTGGGATAGGGGAATTTTGGTAACCTCTGTAATGCTTTATTTCTGAAAGAAACACACACATTGCAAAACGTTAACACCTGTTTAACTGGTAATGCGAATGTAGGTATCAGTTATATAACTTCTTGTTTTCTTCTGTATGCTTTAAATGTTTCACAATTAAAAGAGTAAAAACAACCAAAAACAAAACTGCAAAAACCTAGGATTTCCACAGATTTTTCCATTCACAATTATAAGGTATTTGCTGTTACTGATGATGGCCCTTGTATTATACACTGCTCTAAAAAAACTCAGAAGGAAACCTGGGCATTATTTATTGTAAGTTATAGAAATGTGCAGAGAAGTTACCTCTTCATCAGATAAGTTTTTACCAACTACAGCTTTAAAAAATTTGGCAATATCTTCTAAAACGTGCATCCATTCTTCTGATTCCCAAACAGTGTGATAATCTTGGTACACAGGATAAGCTCGACCACAAATGCCATCAATTATTTTGTGAAGAAGCTAGCAAGAAAAACACAAATAAATGCACTTATAAGTAAAATGATAAAACAAATTTATCTTCCTCTTAACAAACATTGGGAGATGTTCATGTTATCTGCAAGACCAGCTTAAGTTAAAATGTATAAACCACTTTTAAGCTTATTCTAATTAAAAATTAGAACTCATAAAAATCCTAGACTTTCTATTATTATGTCGACCTTCAGAAACTAAAATAATTTTATAAAAATTACATAAAGAAAAAACTAAAAGGAAGAGACGTATAAAGGATATGTTTATAGCAATGACCAAACAAAAGGATAGGACTTACATTAAAGTCTCTTACTGTAGGCCTATAAGCTACATTTTGCTTTGCCTCCACTTTCACAACATACTTTTTTTTCTTTTGAGGGTCTCACCATGTTGCCCAGACTGGCCTTCAACTCCTGAACTCAAGCAATTTTCCCATCTCAGCCTCCCAAGTAGCTAGGACTGCAGGCGAGCACCACCACACCCAGCTCAGCAGTTACTTTAGACGTATTTCCAGAAAGTCTTCAGTACTTTTTTCATTTTTTCTACATTCCTTTCTATCCTATTAGTATCTTACTATCAGCAATGGAAAGCCTAACACATGTATAACTTAACATAGTGATTAAGACTATGGATTTTGGAATAAAACTATCCAGTTCAAATCCCAGTTGCAGTACTTTCCAGTTTTATTTAAATCTTCGAGTCTGTTTCCTCAAGTGTTAAATGAGGATATCATCTCTTCTCTTAATCTTGCTGTAAGGATTGAAGAAGAATACACAGAAATCACTTGGCATCTTCCAGGCATGTACAAAGACATGCAGACATTGCTAGCCCTCGTTACCATCCTTATTATTATTATCACTACTCCTCCTCCTTCAATTCATGCCTTCAACATCTATTAACTGAGATAACACAATGCCAGTACTATTCTAAGCACTTAGCATATACTAAGGTTATCTTTCTCAAAGTTATTTGTATCTTACAAGAGTAGTATTTGAACCAAATAACTTGGAAATAATCATATTCCACCCCATTTTAACTAATAACTCCTTCCCTCTAACACCACACTTGCCAGAACACAAGCAACTGCTTCCAAATGGTGGCTAATATACTATACAAACTGATCTTTTATTTACCATAAATCAACATACTCAATTTTGAATTCATTCAAAATTCTCTACAGCTTATCCTATACTGTCCCCATGCTAAAGCAAAACCCAGAACTCAAACTGAAAAATAAAAGCATTCTCTTTTTCGGAATATGTTTGTTATTCACTCACAAATATGTAATGCACACTTCATCCCAGTTACTAAATAAGGTCATGGAAATGACTTTATTTAATGGCAAAGAAACTATAATAGCTACTGTTATGGAGCCCTAACTAGGTACCATGCTCTGGACTGATCCTCATTACAACTCTGAAGTAACCATTGTTATTATTCCTAATTTACAAATGAGGAAACTGAGAATAAATAAGGCCCTACCATAACAGAGTTTTAGTCCATTCGAAAAGGGCAAACATACAAATACATGTAATTTAGAATGATGGGGACATAATAAAAGTATATACAAGGTACAAAGGAGCACAGAGAGGAAGCAAGGAAAACTCCATCTTAAAAGGATGAGTAGTTGGCCAAGCAAACAGGAGAGAAGAAGTGCATTTCTAGATACAAGCAACGGCATATATACAGGAGGCAAACTGTAAAATCACACTGCTTGATTTATGGAATAGCAAGTTATTTTGAGGGGTGCCTAGGGGGTGACAGGAGACAAGGCTGGAGAGGTGGGTGGAGCCAAATCAAAAAGGGCCTGTGTACAAAGCAAAAGAGCCTAGTGCTCAACCGGGAAGCAATCTATTCACACATTTGCATTATTTTTTCATATATTTGCTAACAGGTTGGAAGATGTAAGAAAAGAGAGAGGGTGAGCCCAGCTGCCTCAATTTTCAGTTAAGGAATTAAAGATTAAGGGGCTTAAATTGTTGAGGACACTCCAAATGGAGGCAGTAAAGAGGTAGAAGAGATGTGAAAAGGAGAGGCCATGGATGAAACCTAGAACGTCAGGTTGAGGGGCTGGGTGAAAGTGGTGGTGCCACAAATCAAAAATGAGGCTACGGGAGGAGTAGGTCCAGAGGGAAAGAAGAGCTCACGCAAGGGCATACTGAATTTGAGGTACCTGTGGCAGACGCCTGACACTCAGGGAAGAGATTTTGGTTTGGGGTTTTGGGGGTTTTGTTTTTTAACTGGCATTCTTGAACCACAGAGGAAGAAAATTTTGGCTGAACCTAGAGATTTAGAAGTCATCAACATATATGATAGTAAAGGTTATGCACCTTATCTAAATGGGTAGAATGAAGACAAGGAGAGCCAAAAGCCAATAAAAAACTCAGAATCGATAGATCTGAGCATAAGTTCCAGCTCTGCCACTTTCTGGATGGGCAATCCTGGGCAAGTTAGCCATAATTTCTGCTGACATTTCAGGTTCATCACTTGCAAAAACAGAGAAAATAATTAGGATGTTTTCTTTTTTCTTGACCCTGACAGGAGGTAAGTTCCTTTCTGTCTCCCCCACACTTTCTCCAGTATAAACGGAACAGAGGAAATAGGAAGACCAAAATTGAGACTTATAAAAAAGATGCTCCACCAGGGGACAGGCTATGTGTCTCACTCACCATTTTACCTCATCCCATCGGGACGCTCAATGTATGGTAGACTTCAGTGAAAAACTGGCTGAACAAACGAATGTGGTTGCTTTTCTCCAGATTCTCACAAGCCAGGTTGTTTCATAGACTGGAAGTCAATGGGTACATCACCTCTTGGGACGACCCTAACAAAAGTAACTCGCCCAGTTATTTCACTTCCTTCCAACTACCCTCAAGGGTGGAGGGGCAGGGTTCGCTTCGGTGTAGGTCACATAGTATTCCAGCATCTAGTACTGTGTCTGCTGCCTGGCAGGTAGGGAGCCTTTGGGAGGTATGTGTTGAATGAATGAAGAAAACGTATACGAAGCAACAGCAAACACCGACTTGACGCCATAAGCTTTCAAAGCCCCGTCTGGTGCGGGCGCTTCTGCGCGCAAAGGCCCTGGAGCTGCACCTCTAGGCCGGGGGTGGCGCCCCAAGCTGCCCACCTAGGCTCCCCAGGGAAGGCGGGGACCAACCACCCGAAATCACGCCCCTTCCTCCTCCCTTTCCTACGGAGCTTGCGAAGGCGTCTGGGTCGCACCCGGCCTGATCCGCACGCCGGGCCGTCCCGAAGCCCAGGCCCCGCGCCGCTTCCCCCAGTACCCTCCCTCACCTGCGGGCCCAGCTCGGCCGGCAGCTTCTGCAGCCGCCACAAGAGCGTCCCCTCTTCCGGCTCCATCCCTGCGTGAAGCTGGGGCCTGGGTCACGTGACAAGGCTGGCGCTCGTCTAAAGCTACGGTTCGCCCACGTGACTGTCTCCGGCGGAGAGGGGCGGGGCGTAGAACCAAGGAGTCCCTGTGCGCTTGCGCAGAGGCCGAACTGCCGCTTTCCACGTAACCAGGGAGTCTGCAGTTTGCAGTGATGTGGCTAAGATACCCTTGTGCTATTACTTTAAAGGAACATTTACGTATCTTTCAACGCAGTTTGTACCTTTGTTCAGGGTTCTGTTGAACTTTCTCTGTAGTCTTTAGAAAACCTTCGAATAAATGTAACCATCTTTTTGGGTGCCTGGGCATGGTCATTCTCCCAGAGTTTTAACGTAAGTCTCTACTAAAGTATCCTGATTTGCAAAGTAAATTAAGGTTTTGCCATGAGCAACGTTCTGTACATAGATCATCCTAGGGAGAAAGTACGATTTCCAGCCCCATTTGCAGAAAGCAAACATGATCAGAGAAGTCACTAGGGTTGTTGAATTTAGCAAATAAAAATACCAAATGTCCGGTTAATGTGAAATTTCAGATAAGCAATAATATTTTGTTATAAGTATCCCCTAAATATTGTATTGGATATATTTATACTGAAAATTATTTGTCTATCTGAAATTCAAATTTAACTGGGTGTCCTGCATTTTATCTGGCAACCCTAGAAATCACTGACCTAAGCTAAGTAAGAGGCCCAGTCTGAAGTTAAACAGAATCAATCGGACTCTAGAGCCATGCTATTAATGTTGAACTAAACTCAAAGTCCAAATATCTTTTCTGTTATTTCTTATTACTGCTGTTACTTTAATCAGGTGCTGAAGAATTCAATGGTAAAACGAGCATGTCCTGCAATAGCGGATAGTAACTAGTAGGCCAGAAACAGGAATTACAATCTAATTTATAAATTTAATAATAAAAGTGGTGCAAAATGGTGAAGCAGAAGAGAAAGTATTCAATCTATGGGCTATGCAGAGAAAAACTACTCATTAGCAGCATTCTAGGTTTACCTCATACGTCCTTTCTCTGTGTGCCTCACGTCTCAAAAGTGAAGTCAATTTCTTTCTCCCATGAATTTTCATGGTATTTTAGCTGTCCCTCACTTATTGACCACTTTCTAGTTCTTAATGCAGATAGATGCACAATACTCATTCCCCTATCTGAAATGTAATTGTCTTAAGATACTTTGTGAATAGGAGCTCCCCAAGTAATAGTTAAAATGAGAAGTCTGGAAAACTACTTCATCTGAGTCTTTCTGTAAATCTAATGATGGGTAAGGTCTATTTTGAGAAAAAAAAATTAAATTTTATGTATTATAATAATTGAGAGAAAAATACTTGCAAGCATCTACTATATGTCAAACACTTCATATATTTTTATCTTAGTAATTCCTACTACAGTCTTGTACGGTGGGTATTACAAATGAGGAAATAAATTTGAAATAATATATTTTGTAAGGTCACATAGATAGTAGTTACAAAATCACTGGTCTGAGGCCAGAAATGGTGGTCTCAGTCTGCATGCTTGACTATCCCTACTGAGGAACTGAGATGATATGGCTTGCCTAAGGCCACGTAACAGATGACTAAATAAGGTAAAATGACACACCCGGCAGGGTCCAAGGTTTAGTCAGAGGAAACAGAATTAGGTCCTAACTCATCTTTCAAGCAGGACTGAGTACTAAGAAGAATTTGATCTTTTCTCTCGAATTTGGATGGGACAAAATTTAGGCTGTAACAAATATGGTCTCTAAAATAGTTAACAACTTTCAAGAGAGATAGCGCTTAATATTTGCCCTTTGATTAGTAAGAGGATGTTATGTGTATAATCCAAGAGGTTTTCAAAACATATTTCTGTCTCGTGTAGTTTCATCTGTACTAGGTATATTCTGGTCTCCATCTCCCAAATCTTACTTGTACTATAGTAATCTTTAAATGCATGAACTCTGGAGCTAAACTTCATAAGTTCAAACCCTGGCTCTGAAAATTACTATCTATGTAATATAGGCAAGCTATTTTCACTTCTCTGTGTTTCTCATTCCTTACAACAATCCTGTAAATTGTATAATTGGTTATAATGACAGCTTAGGATTTACAGGGTTGTTGTAATTTGATATATGTAAAGTTCTTGAAATGAAGTCTGGCCTGGCACTTAGAAAATTGTATTACATTCCCTTCTATGTGGCCTTCTTTGCTCTACTGTTATCTAGCCAAAGTCTAGTGGGTTCCAGAAAGTCGTGGGTTCCAGAACGTTACCCTCCTGGTGAACTGTCACTGCCTTAGAGATGTGATCTGCATCTAAAACCCAACTAGCCAGCTATATAGTGCTGTATAGGTGATGTAGATCAGTGCTTACAGTTGGGAGAGATATACAAAGATCTCAGGTAAACCCCAATGTGTGCACTTGCTGAGCTTACACTGGAATTCAAGCTTGCTATTTGTGAAATAATTTGGTACTCTTTTTCTGAAGTTAGTTTCCTCGAGAGTTTTTGTTTTGAGGTGGAAGGAGGCAAGAGTTTTGTGCGCCATGCCTTGGGAAATTCATTCATTCACTCATTCCTTAACAATTGTTGATTAAACATCTACCATTGATTAGATGCTCTAATGACTCTGGGAATGCAAGCAGTGGACAATAATTTACCTTCTGGTTTCAGGGGAGAAGAAGTGCTTAGATAATGAACAAATAGATAACTAAGATAATGAAATATACTGAGAAGTATCTTTAAGAAAATAAAACAGTAATGTAATAGAAAGGGATGGTGGAAATATACCTTAGATTGGTCAAAAAGCACCTAGCTAACAAATGGCATTTATACTAAGGCATAAAGGCTGAAAAGACATGAAGGCAACATCTAGGGAAAAATAGTTGTGAGCAAAATGCAGAGGCCCTGAGGTAAAAGAAAGCCTGCCTTATTCAGCATGATGATCCAAGGCCTGTGTGACTGGACAGGCCTTGAAGATCCCAGAGATGTGGGCATGGATTTGGTAAAGAAGATACCAGAGATGTGGGCATGGATTTGGACCAGTTAATTGATATAATGTGGTTTACATTTTTAAATGCTTATACTATGGAAACTGGAAAATAGTTATATTATGCAAATTATTTTTCAGTAAACTGGAAAATATACTATGCAAAACAGATCTTAGAGTGCAAGAGCAAAACATGGGGAACCAATTTAGAGACTACTCCAGACTTATTCTAACTAATATAGACATTAGAGTTAATATGGCCTAATTTCTACCCCCAGACTGTAGAATTCCAGGGGCTTAGATGATAGATGGTGGTAGCAGGAACTAGATACTAATAGAAAGAATCAAAATATATTTTGGAACTAAGACCTATAGAAGTTGATGGTGGATCAGATGCTTGTGGAAGAGAAAGAGATGCTTGTAGAAGTGAAATGCAGACTAAAAGATATAGTAAAGCATCTGTCATCCAAGCCAGCATGAGGTTTTATGCCCTGAACAAGAGACAGAGCCATAGTCTATAGCTTCTTTGTTGGTGAAAGACTTTTTGAGGTGTAATGGTGTGGTGATTAAGTGTACAGGGTCTAGAGTCAGACAGACCTGGATTCCAGTTATGTCTCTACCACTTACTAACCACATAACCTTGGACAGGTTGGATAAACTCTCATACCTAAGTTCCCTCTACTAAATATAGGGATAAAACTACCACTTATTTAATAAAGTTGTCCTGAAGCTCAAATAAAATAACGTACATATCCCAGCCTCCCTTTCATCTGGGGTTGGTGGTATCCAAGTGCTGGTCAATAGGAAAAAAATGGAAGTACTATGTAGCACTTATCAGTACCTTTTATTTAAGGAGAACCCAAATATACCATTTGCCTTTTTCTTCTTTGTTTCTGCTTCCATCTTGCTTCCTAGAACTCAAATGATGCTGTTTTTGGACAGGGAGGCCATGGGCCAAGTACAGAGAAGCAACAGGATGGAATTAAGGTACCTGACATTGTTGAACCCATGCCTGATGCCTTGTTGACTCAGGACTACCTACATGGACATCTATGTGAAATATTACTCTACTTCCCCCTTATTTAAGCCTTTTTAATGGCAGGCTTCATGTCAACATCCCTCAGTCCGATCCCAACTAATATAAGCATTATAGTTAATAACTCCTTATTTGCATCCACAGGCCTGTAGTCTTAGGTTATACTTATGATCTCAATGGTAAAAATTAAAAGACAAAATTATAAAATAATAGTGTAAATTTTAAAAATAGGCATTCCTATACATTGCCATTGGCAATTTTTCTAGAGGGTTGTGGTTGCATTTATAAAGTTTTCTAAATGTACATACTCTTTGACTTAGAAATTCCAGTTCCAGGCCGGGTGCAGTGGCTCATGCCTGTAATCCCAGCACTTTGGGAGGCCGAGGTGGGCGGATCACCTGAGGTCAGGAGTTTGAGATCAGCCTGACCAACATGGAGAGACCCCATCTCTACTAAAAATACAAAATTAGCTGGGCATGGTGGCATATGCATGTAATTGGGAGGCTGAGGCAGGAGAATCCCTTGAACCCAGGGGGTGGAGATTGCGGTGAGCTGAGATTGCACCATTTGCATTCCAGCCTGGGCAACAAGAGCGAAACTCCCTCTCAAAAAAAAAAAAAAAAAAGAAAAGAAATTCCAGTTCCCAAAATACCTAAGAAAAAAATATTTGGCTCCAAGAATATTCATTTATACATTGTTTACAATAGCAAATAACTAGTAATAAGTTATTGGCTTCATAAATGATATTATAACATAAAATGAAGCCACAAAAAAGTGATTTTATATAAAAATACTTAATAGAATATAAACTTGCTCACAATAACTATTGGGAAAAGAGTTATGTTTCAAATCTATTTGTTCTGTGTTATCCATGGTGTGCTGGGTATCTGTGTGTGTGCGTGTGTGTGTGTGTGTGTGCATGTGTAGTGTGCAATTTCCTAAGCACAGAAATATACAAAATTTTAGCAATGGTTTTCTTTCATTTGGGAGATTATAGATGATTTAGATTTTCTTCTTTTAATTTTTCTGCATTTTTCACTCAAGTTTTATTTAA